AGGTGAAGGGCCTGGGGCACAGGCAGGGCCGCAAGCAGCAAGGTGGCTGGGAAAAGCACCACAAACACAAGGAACCAGGCAGTAAAACAAAGAGGTGCTGGACAGGCTGCCATGCACAGAGGAGACTCAGGCAAGGAAGCTTCAGCAGAGGTAGACATCCAGGGCTTAGGACAGAGCAAGGGGCTGAAACCTGACAACTCAAGAAGAGGCTGACCCAGCTGGAACCACTGCGGAGCTAGGGCGGTCCGCAAGCCACAGCCTGCAGCTGCTACAGAAAGAAGGGCTCCTTAAATCATGCTCCCTGCTGCCCATTGAAGCTGGGCTGGAGGACCACGTCCCAAATTGCATGACACGTTCAATGCTAGATCCCTCTCACCTTGCTCTCGCAGAAGCAGCAAACTGTGTTTCCCAGGAACACGTTCAGATGGAACCATCTCAAGGACCTAACACGGGGCTGTGCCCAGCACAACCCCCAGAGGGAACCAGCAGCCCAGCACAGGCTGCACACAGCCAGACCAGACTTGGGGAGCCAGGCTATGGGCTGGTCGCAGGCAGAGCACAGCCTGGAGCTTGAATCCCCTCTGCCCACGGGGAACCCAGGTATTTGCACAGCCCCTGCTAGAAGGGCCAGGTCTCTTCTATTCACGGCACAGCTGAACCAAACCACAGCCCTGGGGCTCTCAGTCCCATCCCTGCTCCCCCGCAGACCCGGCAGTGCCCATAATGTCCAGCGAGAGCAATGCCCTGCAGCACCAGCCCTGGGATCTGAGTCCCCTCAGCCCACCCGCCCACCACCTCCCACATACTCAGCCGGCGGATATTGAAGCGGTAGTTTTTCCACTCCTCCAGGTCACTGGTGTCAAACACAGCATTGGGACTCAGGTTGCTATGAGGGTCGCCAAGGATCTCGGCCACAGCCCCTTGATCCCCTGCCAGCAGTGCCTGCCAGTAAGCCTCCATCTGCCTTCTGCGTGCAGATGGGATCCCGACCCTCGCCTCCTCTGCTCACAATGCTGCTGCCCATGGCACAGCACCCAGACACCTCCAAACCAGGGCAGGACCTGCTGCTGCCTGCCTGGGCTCTAAGCCCCAGGGTGCAGCCCCGTGCTAGGCTGCCCTGGGGTGGGGAGGCCACGTCACATTGCTGCCAGGCCAGCTCAGGTCTCAGCTGCTCTATTCTGGGAAACCTCATGACCACGGCTTTGGGCCAGGAGGCCAGTGAGGACAGTCCTCAGGCAGCAGCACCTCTGCAGCCACTGGCTGTGACAGGAAAGCCCCTGGCAGCATGAGGGGTAAAGACGGAGACCAGCCTTCACTAAAGAAAGCAGAGAGAAGCATCCTGACACCCAGGCTGCCCCCATCAGAGCACTGCCCCACACACCTCTGTCCCACCGCATGCCCATTGCAGGTTCTACGTGAGCCCTTAGCACTAGATGGGTTTTAAGAACTTTCCTGCAGCTTCGTTGATCAAAGCTTAAACCCAAAGGACAGGTAGAAATAGACACAAGGGAGGGAAACAGCACAAGTGAAGTAAAAACATAGAAGGTAATTATCCTTTAGAACCCTTCCTGCTTTTCCCGGAAATTCCGCCTTGGCGAGAGCTCCTTTCCCATCCCCTGCCAGTCTCCTCACTCTGGGTTCCTCACAGCTGGCCTTTCACCTGAGCTAGCTTTTTTCTCCCATGCCCACTCAGTTGTATGAACCCACCCTGCTCCTACTGCAGTCACAGAGCAGCACGTTTTGCTCACTGTTCATCAGCACTATGTGCATTTTGTTCAGACCGTATGTTCTAAAGAACACAGCAAACTACACGAAAGACTAGTAGTGTGTAGTTTAATTTTGTGGAACTATTCAGATCATGCAGGTAAAAACAAGTTAAGTGACCCCAATAGAGGACCAATCAACAATTACCTGGGGGTCCAGAGAAGAGTGTAAGATGGACCTTTACCCTTCTCAGTAACGAAAATAAATGACCAAGTTCTACACTGACAGTCTCCAGCACGCTCTGTCTGTGCAGACTTCACCACCTCATCTAGCTAAAGTGTAGTGCATGAAAAGGTAAAAAGAGGAAAGCACGTGGCAGACCTTCTCACCTGATGGGATCCTCTATTTCCCCAAAGATATAAGCAGATATCCTGTGAGAGCCTGAAGTTCCCAAGAAAAAAGCATTGTCAGGCAGACAGAAGGCCATGTGAGTTAGTGTGAGTAACACCACACAGCCTACGATGCCTCTGGGAATATCAGTAGGGATGACATGGGAAAGACCAGGTCACTAGAATCTAGTTTTAAGGTCACTGGCTGGGTAAGTTTTAAGGAACTGCCCCTACAGGCTGGGTAAGCTTCAAGGAACATATCCCTATGAGTAGATACGGAGCAATTGTGTCTTGGTGCCCAGGCAGCTGCCTACAAGGCTGAAGCACAGCCATGCCTCTTCCTCAGGAAATGGCCTGCCTGAAGGACACCGCTAAGACCTCTCTGCCATTCCCAAAGCACGTCACAGCCTCCAGTTTCAAATAAACTTGAGTTACAGACTCAGCTGAAGATATAAGGCAGTAAAGGCATCCTTATGCCACCTGATGCCTTCTCACCCAAGTACTCTCTCCATCTCACACATATTTCACATCTATCCCAGCAATCTCTAACAGGACCGTTCTGATGTCATTCCTCTCCAGCAGCCCTTCCAAGGGTGCTGCTCTCACTGTTTTCCGGTAGATCTGCCTCTGATCACCTTCAACAACTGCTACCATTGCTCTACAGCTCTAGAATCCTCCTTCCTCCTGCAAAACCTTTTATCCCAACACTCTCTATCACCACCCTATCTCCACCACTGAGGGTTCCTCTCAACACTTCTCTCAGGTGTTGGTGCTCTTTCTCTAGTCCCCATTCTGGGCATTTTCCACCCCCTCCCTGCTTCCCAGCCCTGCACACCCACCCCTTTTCCTGCTAGTCCAGCGCAGCTCATCACCCCTGGTCTCAATGACGAGGTTGATGGCTGCACCCTTGGTGAAGTACTTCTGCACCATCTCCAGGTCCCCAGTGAAGAGCGCGTTCTGGACCAGCAGATCCTGGCACTCCAGTGGCGTCAAGCGGTTGTTCCGGCATCCCCGGCCAACGGGGCTCTGGCTCCATGCATGGTGGTGGTTCTGGGGCCTTACATGCTGAGAGGACTTCCACTGATCCAGCTGCTCCTCATCCAGCTGCAGCAAGCGCTGTGTACCAGAGCTGAAGGGAAAGGTGCAGTCCATCACGCAGAACAAACCCAACAAGCTTGAACCTCACAGTAAACAAGGTGGTGCTGGCAAGAGCCTCTTTTCCAAGGCTGTGCCCTTTGCAGGTTGTTCCTGGGTTCCAGCACCCCAGTGGCTGGCTGGATTCAGGCACCAGCCTGACTCACCCAGTATAAATAGCCCTGCTTGGCAGCTCCCCTCCACCACCTCCCCTCCTTCCGAGAGCTTATTTTCAGCTGCTGGACACAGTCACCAGCACGGATTAGGCAGAGGAGAGAGGTAGCCGGCAGCCTTGGAACACTCTTCCTATCCTCGCTTGTTTGCTCTGCAGTCCCTGCTCTGCACTGCTCCCAACAGGAAGGAAACCCAGCGAGGTGGGGGCAGTCACGGCGCGGGGGACTGCTAGGGAAAGGCCAGCAGCAGAAGTGGCGTGAAAGGGGTCACAAGGGATTAAGTAGGGAAACCTATGCCACAGGGAACTCCAGAGGGACTGAGAAGACCCCCACAAGCCCCATCTGCTGCTTTGGGTACCCAGCGCCCCCCTGAGCAGGGCAGGAGGGCCAGCAGACTGGGCATGGCTCAGCAGGATCACAGAGGGCACGTAGGCAGGTGCAGGGAAAAGCAGGTTGTAGGATGCAAACGATTTTTCTAGCAATAAGGACAATAGTCTCTCATGCAAACTTCAAGAGGCTGGCAAGTGTCTTCACTCCTGAGGGGGCCATGCCCAGCTATGCCATCCCTCTCCAGGCATAGTGGATCCCATCTGGGGCATCTGAAAGATGAAGCCACCTGCCCTGCCCCAGTTATCACAGCTCACTCTGCAGGACACATGGTGGATCCCATCAGCTAGGGTGTTGTGGTAGCTTCACATAGGTCTGGAACCTGTTAAACTTTGTTTACTCTCAAATTACTCTTCTGTAACTAACCCATTAGTTCCTGCAGCCCTGCCAACACGAGAACCCTCCAGCTGGGCAGGCTACGA